TAAGCTTTCTGCACACATTGGGTGAAGACTTTAGATCTAGACCACATAGTTAGGAACTTAAGGAGTCAGCAGAGAGTAATAGCTGGGCTCACAGATTCTGAACACCTTTGGCTCTACTGATCACCTGCTTTGTGAGTTTCAGTAACTTATTTCATCTTAAGATAGTTTTCCTCAGCTGCGGAAAGAATAGCCACCCTCACACGTGTGGTAAGGATTAGGTCGGGGACTGTCTGTGACGAGCACAGTACACGCACACCACAGGTGCTGGCCACTGTTGTGAGTGATGCCCCAGGTCAATGGCTTTGGGCCTGCGCTGTGAGTTTTGAAGTGGCCAAGGCTGACCTATGGTAGATGAAGAGAGTGGCGATTGAACAGTTAAAGCAGGGCACAGACGCCTTATGACTCCAAATCAGTGCTAGAATCAGACTGCTCAGTTACTAGAAAACCTGTTTTGCCAGGATCCTCAAGCTTGGGCATTGTCTTCTTGATTGTGCAATTTCTAAGAGAAGAAAGGGTCTTGGAGGACTGGTAATAATAAATAGTTGCTAACCTTTAGGGACCTGGGAACTTTCTACTTACCCTCTTTCCCTCTATAAAAAGATCAGTGGGCAATCAAAGCACTGACTCCCTCAAATGAGGCACTCACTCCCTACCTCTACAAGAAAGATTAGGGAGAAGCTGAGCTGCAGAACATTCTTAGGCCTGGAGGCCCAAGTCAGCTTTCTTCCTAGGAGTTAATGATACCCATAAAACACACAAAAGTGACAGTAGCCATGACCCTTTTCCCCTGGGCTCTAGGAATTTACTCCACCACACACTAAAAAGCCAAAGTTGGGACAGTGGGAGGACTTGCTATCTATCCCTGGAGGCATAGGGGACACTGACCCTAAAGTAGATGATATTACTCCAACTTTGCAGGTGAAGAAACTGCAGCAGAGCTAAAGCAAAGTGCCCAAGGTCCCCTGGCTGTGCAGAGCTGGGACTTGAACTAGGGCAGGCTGTTCATGACACATTTCCCCTTCCAAAGGGTCCCCACTGTGTGCTCCCAGCCTGCTGACAGGAAAGCTCTGCTTACCTCCACGAGCAGTGACATCACACGGAAGTGAGAATAGGGGGTAGCTGGCCAGAGGTAGCGTAATTACTTGCATGTTTTTCTTGCAAGCACGTGTGTCCTTATAATTAAACACACCTAAAAGGTGGAAGGGGGAAATTTGTGTGCAGGTTTATAACCCGGAGAATAGCCTTTGATCATCACTAAGAGAACTTGGCAGCTGGCTACTATGTCCTGCTAAGAGAACTGACAGGTCTCAGCCCCTGAAGAAGGAACATCCCTCTGGATGTTCAGCCATATTCTTTACCTCTGGACCTCACTCTTCGCCAGGTGGCTGCACACACAAGGAGCCCTGACCCACAGGCTAGTGAGGGACCCACAGTGTGGCCTGTGAAGGAATGATGGGCAGGGACCCATCACATTCTCAGTCTCTGGGATCATTTTGGCAACAGAGACAGCGGGGCTGGGAACAATGGGGGTTGAAGCTGAGATAATGTGGAGGTGGTGAAGCTGAGTGTCTGGGCAGGAAGAACGGCACTGCAGCATTTCTGGGATAGAAGAGAACATGACAGAGTGGGGTGAGGATAAACTGGCAGGAGGTGACGCACACACAGAAGGCCAGAGCCAAGGCACAGGGGGAAGCATTACTGCAATTGATGCTTAACCTGCCGGCATCTAAGAATCATTGCAGAGCAAGACAAATAGCGGGGCCTGTGCTCACCCCGAGATTCTATTTAATTGGTGGGGAGTACTACCTGGGTATCAGTAGGATAGAAATCTCCTCAGATGAGTTGGGCGTGGCGGGGCACACCTGTAATCCCAGCACTCAGGAAGCTGAGGTAGGAGGATCGCCATGAGTTCGAGGCCAGCCTGGGCTACATAGTGAGTTCAAGACCAGCCTGAACTTCACAGTAAGACCCTGTCTCGAAACACCAAACAAAACTCCTCAGACGAATGTAATGTAAGGGAAAGCCAGGGAGAAGAGCCACAGGCCTTCAGAGAAGTTCCTTGGCCCCCCGAGTTCCTGCTGCGGAGGTTCATGGCTCTATAATCCATCTCCATCTCTGCGGGAAGCCTCAGGGTTCAGGTTCTCCCAGGTTCACTAGACACTTCTGGATATTTTATCACCTGCAACTTCTGTCTTATTCTTTACTAACAGAATCACGGTTTTGTGCAGGGGTTTTGTGCACGGTTTTGTCCTATTCGCTATGCATTACTCTTGCAGTCAGAGTGTCTTGTGAGGCAAAGGTATAACATATACTGTGAGGATCTGAAAGATAGCCAAGACTGCAAAAGACCTCAGGGAGAGAAATCTGTGTCTGTAGGCTGCAGCCCCACTGTGTGTACTACCTCTCACTAAATGCGGTGTTCCCACCGTGCTGTGTCCAGAGTGCTTTCTCTTTTGTTGCTGCATGAAGCTCACTGACCGGCTCCCCACACCGCCTTTCCTTTCAACCCTCACTGATGTCACTCCTCTCACTCCTTCATATTCCTCTCTCTCCTCTTCTTCAACCTCCCAACGATGGGACATGAGGAGAAAAGCGGAGCACTTCCTTCCAAAACCCAACTCTGAAAAAAAAAAAAAAAGGCCGGGGATCTAGCTCAGCGGTTCGGTGGCCTGCCTTGTAAGTGCAAGGACCCGAGTTCAATCCCCGGTACCAAAAAAGAAAAAAAAAAAGAAAAAGAAAAAGAATTCAAAACCCAACTCTGGTGTCACAGAAGATTTTAAAATTTGGATTTTGAGGCAGTGGAGAGTTCCTCAATATTAGTAATTGTACTCAACAGCTTAGGAGATTTTCCAAAAATGGGTTTTCTTTTCCTGCTGTCTTGTTCTCTTCCTAAGCAGTCTCCTAAGAAAGAGCCTCATGGCCTCCTTGGCTCTGCAGCAGGACTGTAGTCAGGATCTGCAGCAAGATGGGGTGCACATCCCTCTCAGCATTGACCAACACCTGTTACCCCATCTTCATAGCTCTCCTTCATGAGCTCTGAGTTGCTCAGCACTGACTCAGCCCCTTGCCTCAGACCCAAAGAACACCACAGAGCAAACAGTGGATACAGACTTTATTTTCTGCCCATCAAGGTGAACGCACACAAGTATGGTCAGGCAGAGGTCTAGGAGATGCAGGGTCACAATTATACCTGCCTTGGGTCACAGACACAGATCAGAAAAGGGGTCATATTCCTACCACAAATTACTATGGGATTATCACAATGAAACATTTGTTCCCAGTTCTATTTACATCACGGAGTGTGGAGAGGGATACATTTCTTACACTAAATAAAATAAAATAATATTAAAAAATATATATATATATCACTTTGGAATCTCTAAAACAAAAATATCTCTATCTCTACATGAGACCTACTATAAAGAACATAGAAAATAAGGGAAACATACCAGCACCTCAAATGTCCCCTTCCATGGGAAGGTTGCTCTGCTCTCCACCTGACACCGTTAGCTTGGAAGGGCAGCCATTTCTAACCAACCAGACAGACAGACACAGAGAAACAAAAGGGAGGCTTATCATCCCAGAGGAGTGAATACAGGAGGGAGGGGGAGAGAGGGAGGAGGAAAAGGAAGAAGAGGAGGAGAGGGAAGAGGATTTGGCTTCTTTTACAAAAGGATAATTGCACATTCAGTTTGCTGCTTCTGTTTCCAGCATTATTGCACACATTAAAAAAAATGAAAAGCAAAAAACCCCCTGCATGTCGAAGTTATCTGCAAATCTGCTAAGAGAAGCCCAAGCTTATCTCTGGGGGCTCAGGGAAGTGATATGAGTCAGTTCTCCCGTGCTTTCAGGAAAAATCAATGCTATCAGCTAGAAGAAAAAGTTCTGTATTTTCCAATGCTGAGAGTGGGCTAGGTTTAAGAAAAATGTTAGTCCTTTGCTTTTCAAGGATCAGAAACTATTCCATTCCCTTTGAGCACAGAATCCCCGAAAAGAATCATGACTGGATGAATCATTCTGCTTCCCGAATTCTCCTTCTGAAAAGGTGCATGTAATACTCTTTTCCTCTTTTTGCACTTCAAGCTGTGATACAGTTACTTCACACTTCTCTTGGTTATGAAAATTACCCTTCTTTCTGATAAAAAGAGTCAACCACCCATTCTCTATAATTAATGTTAAGAGACTGGTACACCAAGAACTATATAGAATAGGTATAGCAGAAAAATTTTTTCCACTTGGCTATGGCAAGTCTTGTGTTTACACTAAAATGTGGAAGAACCTAAGGGCTTGAGAACACTCAGTCCCTCACTGTGAATGAGGAAAATAACCATAAAACCCCATTTCCAAGAAGCTCCAAGTCCAACCCATAGATCTTACCACCCCAACCGGTGGTGGTTTCAGGACCTCTGATCAAGAACTTCTTCCCTCTGAGAAGAATGCAAAAGCCTGAGGACCAGGCAGATAGAGAGGAGGAAAGGTACTTGAAAAGCTGAGACAGTGAATGGAAGGGAATTAGATGATGTCGCTCGCTTGGCAAGCCAGGGCTTGCAGAAAGGATTTCTCCCTCAGGGGAGCCCCAACAGCTACCACCAAAAGAAAAGTTGACTGAGAACACTCAAGGCAGGTTTCCTGAATATCCTGCTAAAATGTAGCTTAGAAACTCGGGAAGTGTGAGAAAAATGCAGGGACAAACTAGCAATGGCAACAAAAGAACTTCAGAGATATTGACAAAATGGCAGAGAACATACCGGACAGTGTTTCTAATGCTGGTTTTACAAAAAAAATCCCAGGGCCCTGGGACTAAGCTTGCTCCTGTGCTTCAAGAAAACCTGAGATGTAGAACACTAAAATCAACAGAGGAGATGCAGGGAAAATTACTGTTTCGATTATTAAGAGGGAGGTCTGGAGGGTTGAGTGAGTAGAAAATAAAGAAGAGGCTGGGGATTTAGCTTAATGACACCACACCTGCCTCACAAGTTCGAGGTCCTGAGTTCAATCCCTGGTACAAAAACAAACAAACAAACAAACAAACAAACAAACAAAAAAACCAAAAGAAAATAAAGAAGAATTAGGAATTATCATTTTTGGATGACTGGAAACTACGGATTTTCCAGACCACAGACCTTTTGAATGTCACAATTATCATAGCTAGAGCTCTGAACCAAGTCTGAAACTCGGAATATACATGGTTCACTTTCCTTCTATCCCAAAGGCAAGTTTCTATGAATAAAGGGATGGAGATAGGTGATGTATATAGTAAAGAAAAGATTTCTTGACAGTCCTCCAGAAGTTGGAAACCTGTGGCCGAGGTCAGATACACCTGCTTGCCTGGGTTCCAGTGAACAGAACTTGTTTTGGCTGCATATAAAATATAAAATTAATGTATATATGTAACACAATTTCCTTCATTTAAATTTTAAAAATTTTAACATAGGCATGTCTAACTGGTGGGCTGCAGGTTGGATATGCCTGCAAATTTAAACCAGTCCTTCTCTAAAAGCAATGATCAGAAGGCAATCTGCCCACTTAGCAGGTACAGTTCTTTTTCCTTAGAACCAAAATTCCACATACCACCATTTTCTTAAATCCCTGGCCTTTGTCCTTCTTTACGCTGACACCTCTGGTCTGTCAGAGCACTGCCCTGCCAACACTCAAACTGTTGCTTCTATTTCCCTCATCATGAAAGAGGAGGCCACTTCTTTAGCCCAAGCAAATATAGGTGTGACAATCACCAATAACCTTGCTTTCCACTCCTAAGTTAGTTTATCCTTTATGTTGAACTTACATACCATTTTTCACAGATTAATCTGCCTGTGTTTGTCCTCAAGCTATTTATCAGAGACTGTCTGAGATAGAAATCCCCTAGATGAGAAAAGGACCACCATTTTTTTTATGTTCCCGCAGCTTGGCGCACAAAGCTTACTAGTATCGATGAGTATCTGTGTCACATTCTTACTTGTTGGCACACACACACACACGCATATGCACTGTGCTGCTTCCACATCACACCTAGTTTCTGATCCCATATACTGCTCAGCTTGACTGCTCCATGGTCATCAGCCATAGATCTAAGCAAGGAAGCAGCCGGGAATGAAGTGAGTGTTTGGCAGGAATTGGGAAAGAAGAGAGAATAAGAGTAGGGAATTGTTCCTATCATTAGATGTACCAAAACTGGGGCTGCATATTGCTTGAAAAGAATGTAGTAGCCTGTTAGCACAGCCTTCCAAAATAGCTAAGATTCCTACGATGCAATGACTTGGGAGAGTCTGCAGGGGGAAGACTCAGAAGTGTATGTGGTCCCTAGCTGCACTACACAAAGCTAACAAAGACTGCCCCAGCAGCTTAGCAGGTACAAGGCAGCCCAAGATGTCAGTGCACCGGGAGAGACATTTTTCTGAGGGATCCTGTCACTGGTTTCGTTGCCCTGGTTGTGGCGCTTCCCTGTTTCATCCTTTCCAGGTGCACTGAAGTGAGGGAAACAGGTGAAGTTGTCACCAACTTCCTCACACAGAGGGTGGAAGGAAAATATGGGAGAGGCAAGATGGAGCAAGAATAGGGGCCTGTTTTAAGGGAACAAAAATGATGAATAAGAAGCAAGCTCAAGAAAGTAGCCAGGGATGGAAAGCAAAAGTCAGTAAGAAAGCTTTTCCCACTGATAGGCTATCTTTTGCACTTTCCGCACTAAGTAGGTAAGGGGTATAATTATAGATTCGCTGTCATGTGATAAAATGTGAAGTTTTGGCTCACAAAGATTTGAATACCCATAGATTTCAAAGAAACATGCCTGATCCTGTCTGTACCATATGAAGAGAAGCCAAGGCTGTCCCTAAAACAGCCTTATAACTAGAAATCAGATTAGACAAACCAGGAACAATACCACAATTCAGAGTGATGTCACTTTAATATTTGAAAGTAGTGTGACATTCAGCCAACAGACACTGGTGCAGTGATACACACTGCTTGTTTGCAGCCAACACCCATTGAGCTATTGGTGTCTGTCCTGTACCAGTTGTTAAATATTTTGAAAATCATCTCTGCATTAAAAGTTAGCGAAATATGGAGAAAACTCAGGGTTCCTACAACATCAGTCAAAAGTCTTTAGAGTAAGACTAGACTATACTAATATATTTCGAGAGCCTAAGGAATGCAGAACTCAGTATAATGATGTTGCCAACTCTTCCTCTATGAAAGTAAAGTACACTGGGGATTTTCCCACTGTGCAAAGATTTTCCAGGATGAAAAACCAGTATGATTGAATTCCCTGGGTGCTAATGGGCTGCCTAGTCACATTCTGTGCACAAAGGCAGGGAAGGTCTATATATGTATATATGCACTAGAGCCCAGACCCTTGACATTCATTGCAACATAGAAGAGAAAAGCCATAAATATAGTTTGAAACTGAAATTAACTGTCACTTATAGTTCGTTTCTCGGAATGGCTTTTTATATCTAAGAGCCAGAACTTTTGTTAACCAAAAGAAATCCATGATGATGAAGAAACCACATGGCTGAAGGTAGTTTTGGTCCACTGAGCTGATGATGGTTTACTACTAAGGCAGCTAAGGAGACAGTACATGAGCACTTGGATCTCTCCAGGATGGAATTAGAATGTTTCCCAAAAGACAGCAGCAAGACATCAAACAGTTCCATAAAATAGCCAATAAAAACACCATGTATCTCTCTCTCTCATCACAAACAATTGTAATCAAATCTTTTCTAGATATCTAGAAAGCACACACTATGAAAAATCTTCAGGCTATGAAGGCCTTCCTGGCATCTAAACTAATCCCTTCTGTAACAATTTAGGCTCATTCTCTTACTCCATCCTCAATAAAAACCAAGAGAAGCTGCTCATCTTCACTTGTCCTTACTAATTTTCCCCCAAGCCTTTTCATAAATAAGCTGAACAACTCCAAGGTCCTCCTTGAACCTTGTATCTTTCAAGGGTCTCACTGAGTTGTGCAGACCGCTGCTTGGGAGTGATAAAAGACACTCCAGGTCAGAGGCATATCCTGGCTGTGGTGGTGGGCACTGCCAATGCCCAGATGGCTCACCTCCTGATAGCAGAGCCTTGACAGCCTTGGGGTCTGACCAGCACCCTCTAACCAGGGCCTCAGCAACGGAGCTGAGACCCAGGGCCATCTAGGAGCTTGCAGATACCGATATTGCAGGGACCTTCCCTTTTCTTTCTGCTCTCCTGCTACTCTCCCACTCATCCCTTAGGAAGAGGGACATCACTGAAGGAATCCTCAATGGCAGAAGGGATCCATGTGGCTCAGCAGGCCAGCAGAGTTTCAGAGAAAATGTCTGAAAAATGGGAAGCTGGGTCTTGAATGGTGGCAGTTCTGAAGAGAAAGAAAGGACCAACAGGAAGTGGTCTTCTGCTTCCACGCTTACATCTGGTGCCTGGCTGCTGGTATGGGGGTGGCAGAATGCCCTCCAGTGTACACCAGGAATGACTGAATGCTTCCGCAAGGCTTGAGATGACCAAAGATGGGGCCAGACTTGGTCTTGATTCTTCTCTGAGGGACTCACCATTTTCTCTGTAATCAAACTCTTCCGAGCACCTCATGGCCCAAATCTTCCATCCCAGCAAAGACTTAGTTGAAGAGACTGAATAAAAGTGTTACAATGAGACAAAAAGGGAACACACGATTCATTCCTGCTTTTAACACAATACTTTAAAGATGTCACCACAAGTTGGATCTGGCTGTATTTTAAGTTCATTTACAAGTAGACTAGTTCTCAACTAAAAATAACTGTGTGCAGTATACAGTTCGACAGCTGCCTGGATTTTCCTCGGAAGGAAATAAGATTCTATATTTCACTCACATTCAGCACAGATTTATTTTAACCCATTCGATGAAGAAATAACCATTACCACTCCGTGATAATGAGTGACTTTTCAAGTCACTTCAATTTCTCTGCACAGCAACTTCATTATCCCCATTTAACTGTTAGATAAATGTCAGAAATACGACTATGACACCTTATACAAGGAATTAAGAGCAGGAACAGATTTCCTGATTTTCTGATTCTCCTGATTTTTCTGTTGTTAAACTACAAAAGTTGTCTTAAATAAGGCCTGTTTTATCTTCAGTTTTCTGACTACTTACACTGTATTTGACTAAATTCTTCAAGTAATTTGAACACACAGCCTACCTCATCGCAGGCAAAGATACCTAAAGTCTTTCCATTTTCATTAACCTGATCAAAACTGATCTATGCCATTAGAAAATGATATATAGGATTTAGCTTGCAAAATAAGAAGGTAGTTATAATTTAATATTTTTAAATCTTGGCAATAATTCTCATTATGAAAATTCAGATTTTTATTTTTAATTTTTTTTGGTGGTGATGGTACTAGGAAATTGAACGTAGGGCCTTCACATGGAGCTATATCCTCAGCCCTTTTTTTAATTTTTATTTTTTTATTTAGAGAAAAGTTCTTGCCAAGTTGCTAAGTTACCCAGGCTGGGCTTGAATTTGAAATCCTCCTGTCTCAGCCTCCAAGAGTGCTAGGATTACAAAAAGTATGCCACCATGCCCAGCTAAAAATTCTCTTTATGGAATAACAAACAGGTTAAAGTCAGTATCAATATTGTGGGTTGACAGTAATAACACTTTGAGCAATTTTTCAGTTTGTATGCTTGAAGTACAGAGATGCCCTTTAGATTTCAAAATAAGAAGTACAAGAGGATTAAGGGAACTAAACAAATAAAACAAATTTACATTCCAAAATAATTCCATCCTGACTTTGAACCTATGTAAAAGGGCAGCTCAATGGGCCAGGGATTTAGTTCAGTGGTGCCGCTGCCTGCCTCGTAAGCTCAAGCTCCTGAGTTTGATCCCCCCAAAAAACCAACCAAACAAACAAACAAAAAAACAGGGCAGCTCAAAACAGCCTGTCTCTTTAAATATTTAGAAACCATTTTTCCTTTTTTCCTCTTGGGCTTATAGCTATTCTCATGGGGTTGGCAGCAGTCTTAAAGTGCTGCTTATTAGACAATTCATTCTAACAGCTAAAACACATTTACCTCCAACATTATTGTCATTTTCAAAAGTCAGAAATAAAGATCAGAAGTTGCACTTCTCTTTACCTTTTTTCCTTCGTATTTCCAGAATTCATACTGAGTGCTTTCCAGACCGTCGTTTTAGGCATTTCATCAGATATATTAATCTCTGAAGGGTCACATCTGAAATCCATGCTTAGGACAGTGAATGTTAGACATATAAGCAAAACCTGTATCTCAGTCTGTAATGACCACCACCCCATCGGAAGGGAAAAGATTGGATCTGAGGGAGCCCAGATAACAGCTCTTGGGAGCTCTGGGAATCAGATGGACTCTGCTTCCCGTAGCCACTCAGGGTGGAATGGAAAGAGGTGCAACAGGTAGGCTGGTGCTCCAGGCGGTGGCTGTGCCTCCGAAAGAGTTCACTGCAGATGCCAACAGCGTGGTATCAGGAGCTACCACTTACTGAGAGCTTACTGTGTGCCAGGCACTCTTCATTCATTGTGTCATTGTCACAGCTGAATTGTTTCCACTGTAGTTTACAAAGGACCTTCATACTATATTAACTTAACTATCACAAAAGACATTAATAGCATCCATATTTTGAAGGTGCAGAAATTAAAACAGGGTTATGTGCTTGTTTCAGATGAAACAATAAGTGGAGAATCAAGACCTTAAATCTGATCCTTATTCCCCTAAAGCCCCAGAGAACTCTGAATTCTTTCATAGGCCAGAGGGGCTCTTTCTAAAATACCAAGAAAGGAGACAACATTCTGCTAAAGAAGGAACATTTCCTCCAGCAGCCAGAGAATTCAAAGCCTATGGCTCATCCATAATGACTTACAGAAAGGTAAGGGACCAAAGACAAGACTCTCATAATCTGCCCACAGTATAAACCAGCCAACTGGTCATTTGATTGCATGACCTAGATGCTCTCTGTACCTCTCTTGACCTCTAGACTCCTTTAGCCCAGGTGTACTTCTTCCAAAATGGAAACAAAATGACAAGAGTGAAACCACGTATGGGTCAGGTTTCTTGTGGTGGTCAACAGGTTTGGTAAAGAAAGGGGCTAACTGATTGGCAGAAGTAATGCAGTTTTGTAATCCCAGTTGAATTCCTCCTGGGCTCCTTGAATTACAGATGCCATGAGGCAGGGTAGAATGGGCCATCTTTGCTTAACTCCAAAGGCAGGCCCAAGAATGGGCATCTCATGCCCGTAAGGCTGAAAACTCTTTGGAAGTAAAGACCACGTCTTATTTATTTTTGGAAGTGGCAAACAAACAACAACAACAACAACAACAACAACAACAACAACGAAAAGAAAAGAAAAGAAAAAGAACAGGAACACACAGACCTGACTTTGAATCTTAATCTTTATTCTTAGCATCATAACCCAGGGTAAATTACTTAAACCCCTGTAAGCCTCAGTTTTCTCACTTGTACAGAGGTGGATAAGGAAATTGTCTCAGAAAAATGGTTGTAAAGACTGATGGAAACTTTTTGCACATCCCTGGCACAGAGGAAGACATTCAGGACACTGGGTCTCCTATCTTTCTTCTCTGGCAGAGTGCAAGGCACAGAGTAGGCCTTCAGTCCTAAATGAAATAGAAAAGGCATTTCCCACAGGGTAGAACAAGAAGACTGAATGGTTAGCTCTTTATACTAGCAGCTGTGTTTTTAGCAATGACCCCAACCACAGGCCAGAACAGCCACAAAAGTAAACTTCTTGCTGTTTTGGGAGACTTACCTGAAACTGTTGTTTTTTCCAGGACTACTTAGTAACTTTCTGCTTTCTAAGGGGAACTTGTCTCCCCCGATTTCTAACATTTTCTCAACCTCCTGGAAGAAAGGAAGACATTATTTTATGTTGGACCAAACAAGATCATGAGTCTTCACCAGCCTACTCTTATACCACCACAATTTCTAACTAATTTTCTTATATTTACTCTAAGAGTATAGTTAGGTTATTTGATAGGTTTAACTAATCACAAAAAGAGAGACATATTTGCACACATAGAATATTATTGAAAAAAATTAAGAAGAACTTGAATCTGAGTAAGCCTCTATATTCATTGAACAATTTACTGGAAATAAGGGAACAGAAGAACATGATAGATGACACCAAGGAAGAGATTTAGAAAAATCCACACTGTGGGGACCATACAGGTAAAAATCTTATTTCTTTTGCAAAAAAGAAAAAATGGAAAGGGAATACCTAAAGAAATTTTAACAACATACTAACCAATTGCAATATGTGAACTTTCTTTAGATACCAATTAAAATAAGTAGTTAAAAAACAATAGGGTCCGGGATTTAGCTCAGTGCCTGCCTCACAAGCGCAAGGTCCTGAGTTCAATTCCTGGTACCAAAAAACAACAAAATAAGAAGGCAATTGGGGAAATACGAACACTGTCTTTTCTTTCCCCTGC